CGAGTTCCTTTGAGCGCATGAAAGCAAATAGTTAGTTATATGTTCATTATGTCCAAAAATTGAAGAGAACTTTGCTCTTTTTCTATTTTTCTTAAATTCAGGAGGAATTTATGTTATGCTAGTTGTATCATCTCTGCCTGTGTACACAAACGCATTACATAAACAGAAAGTTCTGGAATTGCGTAAGTACAACTATATTTTGCAGGCTTATTAGGCATGTACATTCGAAACCTACATTTACCGCAAAAAGGAACTAAAATCTCATCTATGATAAGATTAACATGGGTGTGTAATACTTCTGTACCTTGGATATAAAAAGACCCCATATCTCCCTCACTGCAGCTAAACGGTAGATGTTCTCTTTTCGTTAGCTTCTCGACCATAAATCGACGAGCAGTCATACTGGTACGGAAAATGTCACGACCTGTGCCATCCTCAGCAAAAAGTTCCAAAATATTTTCGTGATTTGGACTTTATTACACCAGATTAATACAGTAATCCAATAAAAGATCTTAATTCGATCGTATCCAGGGATGGATCTTTAAATTATTCTTTTGATCACATATAAGAGTTTTTATTACCAAAATAATATTTATCAGCTAAATACATACACTCCCGTTCATCACCTTTTTTGTCGATCTTTCTTTAATTTCATCTTCTTAATTATCACTTTTCAGCCACGCTCCCGTTACTTAACTGTCTCTGTCCAAGTTATAATAACTTCATGATCTGTTAACGCCTTCGATGAAGCCATCCTAACATAAGTGTCCTAACTTCAAAATCCTCATTGAGCCCTATGGTCTTCAATTTAATCATATATGAAATTATCAAAAGCATTAACAAAGGAACAGGATACAGAATGATAAACAAAGAAATAAAAACACTCTGTTAGACAGACGATGCAATATTGATAGCCCACAATTAAGATAGTCTGCAATTAAGATTGAGCCACAGATTTAATAAAGAGCAAAAGAATTTAATATAACAATCTCACCTCAGAAAACTATAACAATAGTAATCAGCAAAGAACCAATCAGATGTAAAATAGAAATTGGTGGCATCAGAATTGAACAAGTAATGGAAATAAAATACCTTGGAAATACATTGCCCAGCTATGGAGACCTGGACAAAGAAGTGAGAGATCAAGTACAAAAAGCAAATAGACTGGCAGGATGCCTTAAAACACTATATAGCGAAACAGACACATTAACACTGAAATGAAGTCAAGAATTTGTAAAACCAGTGTAAGATCAATAATGATATATGCATCAGAAACAAGACCCGACACAGCCACAACACAAAGGCTACTGGAAACGGCAGAAATGAGAGTACTGAGAATAATTACAGGAAATACACTGAGATCGAAAGAAAAGTGAAGACATCAGAAGGAAATATAACGTACTGTGTATAAATGAATGGATACAAAATAGAATTAAATAACCACATAAGCAGAATGGGAGAGACCCGTGTCATCAAAATAGCAAGAGATAAGTCATCAATCGGCAGGAGAAGTATCGGACGACCGCGCAAAAGATGGAGTGACAACCTTCCATAGAGGTATTAATTCGCCAATGAACAAACAGAATTGCTTATAAAGAGGAAGAAGAAGAAACTCAACTACTCAAAACAACTATTATTTGCATCTTACATCGGTCAAACTGGTAGAAACTTTGATAAACGAATAGCAGAACATAAAAGGGCTTTCAAGAATAGAAAAACAGATTCGACATACGCACTTCACCTTCTAGATCATAATCATTCTTTTAATGACAAATTTAAAATTCTTCACATTCAAAATAAAGGCCTTAGGCTATCTTTGTTAGAATCTATGGAAATCAACAAATTAAAAAACAGATATAATTCTGAATGACCAACTTGAGACAAACAGTTCTCCCCTCCTCAACCTATTTCATTAGAGACTATAAATTTGTAAACCCAAGCCAGAAATAGATCACTTGAGAAAGGCAATCAGCCGAAACAGCTGTAATGATAAGATTTAAAATAAATTTTGTGGCAGTTTGAAAACAAAGTTTTCAGTGTTTTATTGTTACATAAAATGAATTTCTATCAAGTAACGGTCGAATCCATCAATTATTATTCGCTTATTCAAAATAATTAGTCATAAAATTATATTATATAAAAAAACAAAATTTAAGGGGGTAAAAATGCCCACATTAACGGTACAGTCGGGTCTTTTGAGATTTTTCGTTAGCGTTTCTTTAAATTAGAGTTTATTTTAACACGTGTTGCATATCAATCCATAGAGATACTGGTAATCGAAGATAACATAACAGAGTTAGAAATGAGGAGGTCCTTAGACGGCTGAACCAAACAACACAACTGGTCAATATAATAAAGAAACGCAAGCTGGAATACTTCGGTCATATTATGAGACACCCTGAAAAATATGATCTTTTACATCTGATCATTCAGGGAAAGATCCAAGGTAATCGTGGTCCTGGTAGAAGAAGAACATCATGGCTGAAAAATCTAAGGCAATGGTATGGAAAATCAACTACATCGTTATTTAGAGCTGCTGTCAATAAAGTCACGATAGCGAATATGGTAGCCAACATGATATCCAACGATCGATAACGGTCATGGAACTAGAAGAAGAAGAAGAAGATAACATAAAGTCACAATGCATCTATTAATTAGTAGCAAAACTACAACGTATATTCTTTGTTCTGGGGTCCACTGAGACCCCAGAATACCACTTAAGGGTTAAATATCGCTAATAGTTTAGGAGATACAATTTAAAAACAATTAAATTGTTAGTAACACATTATCTGATCAGTTTTACGAGGGTGGATTGATATAAAACTAGCCTTTGATAGAAAAAACAAGTTTTTTGGAATTAAATCGATTTATTTCTCAACATAGTCCCCTTTTAGCTCGATACACTTAGTAAGACGATGTTCCAATTTTTTTATCCCATCCGAATAGTACTTTTGCTCGAGCTCTTCAAAATAGGCCGAGGTTTCAGCGACTACTTCATCGTTGGTTGCGAAACGGCATCCTCCGAGCCATTTTTTTGAGATTTGGAAACAGGAAAAAATCGCTTTCAGCAAGATCTGGGGAATACAATGGTTGTTCAACCAATTCAAAGTAAAATTCGTGTAATTTTGCCATGGCGACGGCCGATCGGTGAGCGGGAGCATTGTCTTGGTGAAAAAGCACTTTTTGCGTATAAAACCGGGACGTTTTCGACGCATTTCGGCATCGATAGAACCAATAATACTGCGTAGTACTCAGCATTAATTGTTTTTCCATGTTCCAAGTAGTCGATGTGGATGATGCCCTTCGCATCCCAGAAAAAAGTCGCCATCACTTTGCTGGCCGAATGTGCACTCTTTGCCTTCTGTTTGTGCACTGTTTCGACTGTTCTTTGGTTTCCGGTGTGTAATAATGCACCCAGGTTTCATCAACGGTGATAAATCGGCGAAAAAAATCCTTCGGATCGCGCCGTATCAACGCCAAAAGCGTCTCAGAAATGGTCACACGTTTTTGTATTTGATCGATTGTCAGCAAAAGCGACATCCATCGCGCCGATAGCTTTTTCATGTCCAAATGATGGTGAATGATGTGAGTGATGGTGAATGTTGTGCGCGTTCGTAGATTTAGGACCTCTATTAACTCACGGAGCTGAATTTAACGATCTGCCATAATCATGTCATGGACTTTGTTGATCATTTCCGGCGTGGTGACTTCATTTGGCCTCCCGGGACGCTCAACATCAAAAAGACCTATACGACCACGAAAAAATTCAGCTTTCCAAAATTTTACTGTTGCTAACGAAGGTGCAACCTCACTATAAACTTCGTCCAGGTCGGCTTTGATTTGCACATTCGTTTTATCCTTTTTGTGGAGGAACTTGATCACCGAACGATACTCGACTTTTTCCATTTCTCCGAAAACACAAAATTTGCTTGCTTTTGACGGCTGTAAAAACCAAACTAATTGTTTTTGAAACTTAAAATTTTGACACGTCATGTCATGAATGGAAAATGTCAACACCGAAACCAATTCGGTATCAAGTAGCGCCATCTATCAAAGGCTAGTTTAAGATCAATCTATCCTCGTAACCATGGTTACTAAACAACATAAAAACGTTAAGTTACCGAAGGGACATAAAAGTGCATACTCAAATCCCCTATACTATTAGCAATGTTTATGGCATTTGGGATCTTGGGGTTATTCAACATCATTTTGTTCTTTATAAACGAATAATCACACTTTGTTTTGTTTCGAGGCAGGTATTTAATATATATATATATATATATATATATATATATATATATATATATATATATATATATATATATATATATAAAATTGACGGTGGTAGGTACCCAATACACAATATATTCTTTGTTGCCACAAGCTTTACCTCACTGTGACTAATCTGTATTGTATAGTATTTGTTGATAATGAAATATGTTTTTTATAATCGATTATGTATTATATACATTTCCTGTTCTTTTTAATATTGTTTTAAAATGGAAACGCCACGTTTCTTGGAATTCCCTCGCTGATATTTTGTTGTTGCACGAACTATTGCGAAATTGTTTATTTCTTTAATATCAACCTAAACCAGATTCATCTATTAATAGTCACAATTAGAAGAATTACCTTTTACTTTTTTTTAACTACGTGCGAGTGACTAATGAAATTGATAACTACTTATTATATAGAATGTATTATTTATTATTTTTAAATGACAAATAAATGTACATTATGATAAAACATGTAAAATTTTACTTTACATAAAACAGAATATTTTGTGTTTTGAACATAAATATATTTACTAATTAAGAAAAGAAAAGTGAGTACACTGTGTCGGCGGTTTAACTCCTTCAGTACTTTTTTAACCTATTATCTGTACAAGTATTTACATGTGAAACATTTTGAAGTACATCGAATATTTTATTATCGAACATATCGGATGACTGTTGATATCCGTCGACTCTGAATGTATTCCTTATATAGTAACAGAAACTATGAAAAGATTAATAGTCTTCTTTTGTTACAGCCTTCGGAGAGGTCCAGGAGCAAACGTCCAGGATAGTAGTGGATATTCTTCACTACACCACGCAGCCTTAAATGGACACAAGTAAGAGTTCTTTGTTTTCGTTGAAATTTTAAATAAAATGAAACATTTTTAAGTTTATATAAGTGCTAAACTTCTTTTATTTTTTTCTTTTAATTTCTTCTTCGTTATCTTTCTTTAATAGCTGAAATCAGTGGTAGATATTTCGCACTTAAATCTAATCCTGTAGTACAGAGTCAACTCGTGACGTTCGTATGTGAAATTTAAATAAGCGAGCAACGTATTTCACGATAATATATCGAATCCGATTTCAATCCATTATCCTTTGAGTGACTTTGAGTTTCGATATTATCTCTTTTTTTAGGGTCCACGTTTCGCAGCCGTATATGATTGGTAGAATACACTGCCGTCAAATCTTCGATTTGAATATAACTGCATTTCTGGGAGTAAGGAGCCAGAATTATGTATCAATTGTCCCAGGTATACATACTCGTCTAACGTCTACTATTTCAAGTGCAGTGTTGTTTCTTATTGCATCTTGGACATACACTAGTACATGGTTTTTGTTTTTGTAAAAATTTTATTTTTAGGCTCACTTCATTGCTAGCTGCATATAGGTCGCTTATACGTTCCTTTAGTTGTGCAGGATTATATTAGCAATTAGAACGATATCGTCCGCAAATCTTAGATGGTATTCCCCATCAATGGATATTTATTTCTTCTGCCAGTTCATTTTACAGAATACATTTTCTATAGTTACAGTCAAGAGATTTGGTGATATTGCGTCTCCTTGTCGGACGCCTGTGGTAGTGGGAAATTCTGGAGTGTTTCATAAATTTTTACCCTAATCTTTTGCTTGTCTCTATACATATATGTATTTGCTAAAGTTTCTCTATACGGTTTATCAATGTCTTGGTTGGTCAAACCTTCTATTACTGCCTTGGGATATATAGAATCGAATGCCTAATCGAAATCGTATTTCATATTCTTTAGCTCTACTCATTAGTTCTCGAAGCGTATATCCTGTTCTGTCTCACATCATCAACCTATCTGTCAAGGATGGCAAGTTTCCAAGTGACCTTAAAACGGGAGTAGATAGTCCAATTTTCAAAAAGGGAGATCCATGTTTGGTTGATAATTACAGGCCAATCACCGTAACAAGTGTACTCTCTAAGATTATCGAAAAGTGTATTTACAGTAAAATGTTAAATTTTCTGAAGAAATATGATATCTTAAATAAATGCCAGCATGGGTTTCTTCCTAATAAATCTATAGAGAGTGCTTCTATTTCATTATTTAATTATATCCACGCTGCTTTGGATCGAAAAAGGTATGTGGATGCACTCTTTTTTGACTTAACTAAGGCTTTTGACTCTATTGACATTGAAATTATACTGCATAAATTAGAAGCCCTTGGTTTTCGGGGTCATTTTTTGAACTGGTCAAGGTCATACTTACAACATCGTAAATTCCGTAAAAAGTCGATAATAAGAAGTCATCTGTTTTTAATCTTGATCAAGGTGTACCGCAAGGCTCCGTATTGGGACCCTTAATATTTCTTTTATATGTCAATGATTTGACAATTTTTTTAACTGCCGACCATACAGTTCTTTATGCAGATAATTCAACAATTGTAGTTGACGAGTCAACTAAAGTCGAACTCATATCAAAAATGAACTTAGTAGCACAGGAATTTACAACCCGGTGTAAAAGGAACTCTTTAATGGTAAATGCAAAGAAAACTATTTGTATGCAGTTCTACTCGCGCTGTAAGCCATCCCATGGTTATAAAATCAGAGTTAGTTCTGAGGAAATACCTTTTAGTGATACAAATTATTTCTTGGTAGCATTCTAGAAAGTAATATGACATGGGATGAAAATGTCACTAAAATCTGCAAAACAATGAATAAGGGTTACTATGCGATCCTTCAGTTGAAAACTCTATTTAACACCAATCAATTGTGTATTATGCATTGATTTATTCATATATGGCCTATAATGTTGTCTGTGGGGAAATTCTAGAAACTTTTCTAGAGTTTTTATAACTCAAAAGAGAATTTTATTCTTAGATTGATATTCAATATTGATAATAGACAACCATGTCGTAAATATTTTATTGAACACATGCTGTTGACATTTCATGCTTTATATATTTATAAGTGTATTATTCACGTCAAAACTAAATTTCAAAATTTTACCCTCAACTCTGACTTTCATAATTACCCGACAAGACACGGGAGGTTGATAAATGTGTGTAAACACTCGACAACTACAGAATAATAAACAATTAGAATGCCCACTCTCCATGGAAAATTAAGTACGCGCATCTCGTTCGCGCAGACGTTTCGCCATGTTTTAAAGGGAACCAGTATTGTTTATGTGGTGTGCATAGAAAAATTAACCAGATTTAATTGACTTACGGCAATCATAGACATACTATGTAATTATCTTAACATTGTTAAATATAATAACATAAATATAATATAATTAAACCTAAATATAAACAATTATCTAAATCTAAAATTTACAATTGTTTACAATTGTTTGCCACTTAATATAAGAAATGAAAATATATGCAAAAATTCAAAAATAAATTAAAAGCATGCTTGATCTAATTATGCGTTTACAACCTAAATTATTATTTTGACTTAATAAAAGACTACAGGGAATGAGGACCGACGCATTCAGGGACGCTCTATATTGCATATCTTTTTTTTTATCTTTATATTAATCTATATTTTATTGATCTTGTTTTATGTAATTGTCCTATATAACTTGTTGATCATGCTTTATGTACTGTATGACTTGTACTGTATCACAGTATGATCTGATGGGATTAATAAAAAATATTCTATTCTATTCTATTCTATTCTATGAATATGATTCATGGTACTGAATCCCCTTCTAAAGCCAGCTTGCGCTCTAGGCTGTGCAGCATAATATAATGCATTTGTTAATCTGTTGTTAATGATCTTTGTGAATATATTGTATATGATTGGTAATAAACTTATAGGTCTGCAGTTTTTGATATCCTCTTTGCTACCTTTCTTGTAAATAAGAATTATGTTTGCTGCATTCCAGTGGTGTGGTATGCATCTTGATCTTAGGCAGTTCCTAAATATTTCTGCTAAGATTTTCCAGGTTTTTTTTTGTCAGCTTATTTAAACCTTTCCACTGTTATGTCATCTACTCCAGCTGCTTTACCGCTTTTCATTTTTGTAATTGGTGATTATACTTCTTTCGGAATGACTTCTGGTACATCTTCTTGGTTACTGATTGCTTCTTTAAGTGTTTTAATGACTTTGTATAGTATGCTGTAGAATTTAGTCACGAGTTGTATTATTTCATTTCTGTCTGCAATTTTGGTGTTTTCGTTTGTTAGAAAAAAAAATTGCTTGTTTCCCCTTTATATATGTATATATATATATATATATATATATATATATATATATATATATATATATATATATATATATTATATATATATATATATATATATATTGTTATGATAGGTAAAATCGAGAAAAATATTGGTGTGCTTAAAATATTTCAAAGTTCAAAAAAAAATTAAAATAATTCAGATAAGTCGAATAATAAACTACAAACATTTTTGAAGAATGAAAGTACATTATCTTTGGATTACTTGTATTAAACAGAACGTAAGATATGCATAAATTATTTTCTTTGTAAAATATATTTGAGTGACGTGAATAAGCTTAAGTGAAATCCTAGACAATGGAAGCGGGTTTTCCAAATAAATTTGTGCAGTAATTAGGACAATAGAATAGATTTTAGAAATATATGTTTTTGTTAGTTCATAAGAATTGGTAGAAAAAGATTAGTTTGAAGAAGAAAATGAAGAAATGGGAGATGTATGACGTGTTTTGATTGGATGAGATTGAAAAAGGTGGGATGGTTGGTTTGAGAATGAGACTTTAGTTAGTTTTGAAGAAAAAAAATATAGGCAGTTGGTTTCCAAGGGTGCAAGGCGAACGGCGGTTGTTCTCGGGTAGTTTCCCAGAGGTAGGAAGCAGTAGCAGTGAAAGTTTGTGAGTTTTCGTGTAGTTAGTGTATCTGACAGAAGCTGATCCAGTAAAAGATTGTAAGTTATAATTTTCTATTTATATTCCAAGAGTCACTGTTCAGGCCAACGAGAGATTAAGTTTATGGTAAAGAGAAGATATTCCAAGAGTCATTTTTCACTCAGGCCAACGAGAGATTCAGTTTATCGAGAGGAGAAGAGGCTAGCATAATTTGAACGATTCGTGCATTTGAAGGAGATCATTAAGGACGATAAACTTGCAACAATTTGTTGTAAGATTGCTGATTACCTAGGGAGCTGCTAAGAATAGATAGTATAGGCTACAAGGAACAAGGATTTGGACCACTCATCATCAGAGAGAGATAGTTTTGTTGTTCTGCAGTTTTTCTTTTATTGGTAACACAATTTTTACAATTACTTTAGAAAAGATATAAAGATTTTGATTAGGAGATTTAAAATAATAATTGGAATTTTGAGATTTTAACTAATATTGTTTGTACCATTAATTTTGAAGGTTCACGTACGTAGAACAAAATTTTGAGAATCATTATATGAGATATTGTTTATTGAAAACATTTGAGTGTGAATTTTATTTCATTATTTTTATTTCAATATATAATGTTATATCATGTTATGTTTTTTATTATTCCGGTATTCTTTGGACCTTACCTTTCACATGTAAAGCATAGATATTGAAGCACGAATATAACCCTGAGAGAAGAGAATTAAAAAGTGTGATAGAATCATAATCATATAATTTAAATAATTTTAATTAATTAATTAATTGATTAGCTAATTAATTGCTGGGCGCAAAAAAATAAAAGTAAAAAATAGTGTCTAAAAATTAAAAAAAAGTGTGGGATGAACCACTCTTATACCTTAGGCGTATGAAAAATTAACAACTAACTATTTTCAGATCTACAGAACACACATGCAAAATTTCATAGAAATCGGTTCAGACATTTTGGAGAAGTATAGCAACTAACTTTGTGACACTAATATATGTCATATTTAAATGAAT